TTTTCGAGGTCAACCGCGGTTCAAAAAATTTTATCTTTACACAGATCGATAGAGAAAACTTCAGAGTACCTTTAGCAATGAAATACTCAAAATCGAAAGTTTTTTAATTTTCACGTCCGGAAAGGGGGGGGGTGCCCTTAAAAGTTTTATTTTTATACTAAATGATGCAGAATTAAATTCTACAAATGGTTATATCTCTCATCAAAGAAAGTATGATCCTTTTTGAAATCCTGTGTTCGAAAAACTGAAACCTCTCGAAGATGGTTGCAAAACCAAAGATCTACGGGGGTTTCCTTGTCTAGGATTTTTTCGAAACGTTTTTTCTGAAACTTGAGAATATATTTGACAAAGTAGAGAATTTTATTGAAAATTTTCTTAATTATCTTCAAGAGTTCCTCAGAAGTTTTACATAGAATGAATAGTAAATCTCATTCTCCTAGGAAGAGCAGCTCAGAACTCTAAATCTTTCTGTATTTTGGATATTGCACATCGAGAAAACATGCTGTTTCTAATTCAAATATCATGTTTTGTAGAAAACTAAGTTATCTATCAAATGCGACTGTTTGGAATAGTTTACATAATTGTTAATATCGGGAAAAGCCATGTAGAAAAGTGACTCATTTAATCTGCGCCACCCGTTATCAATAAAAAGACACGGCGTTATTACTGATATAGAAAAAAAACGGTTCCGGTTCCGAAAAAGTTGAAAAAGTCGGTTCCAGTTTTATTGGAACCGCCGATCCCTATCCACATCCACCTTCAAAAATCACTTACCATGTTCCCATTGATGAATTAAACATGTAATTGTTCGAATAAGTTGTTCGACCTCATAAAATTGTTGTGATAATGGTATTAGAACTGCTAATGCAAAACGAACAATATCATTGAGTAATTGTTCACTAATCTGTTTTCGACGTTTTTCATATGAATGTTTATTAATTACTGTCCATGAACCAAGTAAATCTGAAGTTGTTGTTTCATGATTTAAATTTAGAACAAGTAATCGTCGTTCACATATTCGAGCTAATTCGCAGACAAGTGCTGTTTTACCTGAACAATCACCACCTTCAATTAAAACAGTTGCCTTACTAACTGTAGCTGCTGCTAATAATTGTAATTTTTCTAAGGTTCGTTGACTATGAACTAAAGGCCGATAAACTGATTGATATTCTTTCTTTTCAATATACACGAATCCAAGACGTGCATAACCCTGTAGATTTAAATCACTATCAATAAGTTCTTTACGATTATTAACTATCGTAGTAGTGGAACTCGTATCCAATGGAAATTGTTGTCGAATCATCTCATGAACTAAATTTTGATCTTGAACATATTCAAATCTAGAAGTATAAACAATGTCAAGATAAACTTGTAGACTACGAATTATATTTTGTTCTTCAATTTTACGTAGATTGTCATCATCAACTGTATTTGTAGTTGTTGTTGTTGATGTTACCTCTTCTGAAAGATTCATATGAGCACGATGTGTAAGCGAATGTGCAGCAATTAATTTTGATAATTTTTCTATATCACGAAGATTAAAATCATATGGTCCACCAAGTCGTCCAATCTGTCGTAATCGAGCTTTTTCACTTATTTCATAATGAAACATATTGATTTTTTCAACTAAATTCTCTGTTAAATAACCAGCAACCAAATGCGGATGCAATAATGATATTGTAATATACATCAGTTCACGTACTTCAAATGTAGACAATTGAACTTGAATAAAATGTGCTTGAGTTGATCGAGGCAATTTTTCTCGTCCACCACCAATCGATGCTGGATTCATAGCTGCTACAATAATTGAACCATCGATTGGAATCGATTTCGCTAATGCTGGTATGAATAATTCATTTTCATTAGCAAATAATGGCATCAGTTGATTTAATAATTCTTTACTTGCTAAATTTAATTCATCGAGTAGAATAACTGTATTTCGACGATTTTTTTTCAATGATGTATATAATGGACCTTCTTGAAATTCGAATGATCGTTGACCATTAACAACGCGTGGTACGAATGAACCAATAAGATCTTCAAATGCTGTATTACTACTAAAATTAATACGAACAACTTCATAACCTAACATTTTAGCTAAAACTTCGATAATTTTTGTTTTACCAACACCTGGTGGACCAGCAAGTAATTGCCGATTGGATGAATGTAATGAAAATATAATTCGTGATATATTATTTAAAACTGATTTTGTCAGAGCAAGAGAAAAACGAAGATTTTCAGGGCGTGATTGTATATGTGGTGCAAATGGTGCTATTAAATTATTTGACTTCAATCGTAAACCCCAATGCGTTCGTAATTGTTTTGTTTCTGTATCGACTATTGTCATTTCTTCGACTGAACACCATTGACTTAGATCTTTATAAACACCTACTTTTTCGAGATTTTCATCAGTTGTAATAGAATCTTTTCCTTCAGTTGTAGTACTATCTTTTTCACCGATTGATAGAAAATTCTTTTCACATTTAAATGCAGTAAGTACTTTTTGCCAGATTGTATTTGATGAATGTATATTTGAAGTCGTTGATTGTTTTGGTTCTATAATACTATCAAGAAATAAAAATTTCACACAAATAGCAGCTGCTTGTTCGATTGGCATATGTTCAAGATGTAAACGTAAACATTCACCAAATCGAACAAAATGACGTGAATCTAATGAATCAATTTTCATTGCGTGAGCAAGTTGTGGTGCAAGATTATCAGCTAAAGTATTAATAATTTGAGTCATTTGATTCTCAATATGTTTATCAGAAATTGTATTCACTGTTGATTTCATTGCTAATTGTTTGAGTTCATTGTTATCATATGGTTGAACACGTATTTCTGTCATTCTTGAATGTGTTGCTGCACTCAATTGTAAACGATTTTCGGTTTTTTCATCGGTATGTACCGTAGCAAATATTTGAAATGTTGGTAAGATTGAAAATTTTGCGCATTGTGGATTGATCTTTGTTGTTTTGGATTGTTGAGCAGTAAAATCTTCATAGAGGATAAATGATGATTCAGTTTCGAATAAACTATTTAAACGTTCGATAACAGCTTGAGATGGTTCATTAACATCTTCTAAAACTAATACTTTACCCTCTTTAACAGCACTTGTAACTGGACCATCTTGAAATAAGAAAATATTCGATTTTCCTTGTTCAATTGCTCGTTCAATTTCGATAATTATACTTTCACAACGAGCTTTTATTAACAGAATACCATTTTCATCCGATCCAATACGACATATGTCATCGAGGCCTGCAGTAATTATTTCAAGTCGATTTTTAATTGATTGAAATGCTTCAGCAACAGGATTAGTTTTCGTACCAAATGAAGAAGTCCAAAAATGTGTCGTTGATTGATCATCCGATTGTGCTCCCATATAAAACTCTAAAAGTTTTTCATCATCTGAAAGTTGCGATGGCTGACCTGCGCTAAATGGATCAATTTCATCTTCTTCTTCTGGTTTTGTTAGAACGGCTGAACGTACACTGAAAGGATCAATCTCCTCTTCTTCAGGATGATTGTAAACTATCGTAAATGGATCAGCCTCAATTTGATCATTGTCTGTTACTTCGAATGGATCAACGTCGTCTTGATCATTCACCATCATATCGACAACGTGTTTAGTACGATAAATTTTTTCAAAATATTCATTGTCATTATCATCAGTGGAGTGTTTTTGCGTACTGTTGAATTGATTTGTTGTTGTTGTCGACTTCGGAGGTAAATTAGATGTTGGCAAAGGTGTGAAATCATTTGTTTGACTTGGTTCAGGATCGACTTTGACATTTTCCGATATAGCAATTGGTGCAGATGGTTGTTCGATATTTTTTGTTGTTTGATGTTTTCGAACTTTCTTTTTCTCTTGTTGTTTTTTGATTCCACTAATAAATTTACCAATATCAACAGCAAATGCATCACAATTTGTACGAAATTTGGTAAATTTGTTAAAATCTATTGCAGAAGCATTTTTTGATAGATTCTTTTTCGCACGTTTATAGAGTTGATTCAAACAGTTCAATAATAAACTCAAAGCATCAGCTTGTGTATATGGCCTAAATAAAATAATATTCAGTAAAAATACTAGGTAGTCATTTCGAATATGAGGAGTGTTGTTTTTACGTTGATTACGATCTATGATAGAGTCAGTAGAGAAGTATGTCGAAGTTATATGAACAGAGAAAATCCTAACGTAGTTCTGAGTTCATGATTCGTGCGGATGGATATGTATGGTAAACGATTACAAAATCCTGACTCACAATCTCATTCATTCACGTCCGCTCATTCTCCATACCTAGGGGTTTTAGTTTCTACAGTTTCAGCCCCTCTTAGAAATCTGGAATTCATACGTACTGAATATCGTTCAAAACCGATATAACGCATGCTAAAATGTAAAATGTGTTTCTATCTTGAAGTTTGTAACGTCGAGAAACAGGAATACTGATACTCCTACCTATCCACATCCTTAAACGTCTATTTTACCTAATCGATCCGATGAGATCATTTGTTTCGGTTGATGTTGAACAAGTAATTATACAAAGTTCGGATTCTTTTGCCATTAACTTTGACCAGATTTTGATCAATTCGGATTTATAACAAGTTGGTCCAAGTAAAAGAATTGGTTCATGTTGTTCGACAGCGGCAAAGACACGCCAAAGTGAAAGTAACAACTTTTGTGGTGCTGACGATAATTGTAAATTGATTGCTGCGTCCAAATTAGTAAATGTATATGATATTGGTAAACTAGGTGGACGATTAAGTGATATTTGATTACCCTCAATTTTAACATGAGATGGCGGATCAATCAATTGTCCAAATGAAGTTTGTAGACATGTGATAAACACACTATTGAGGTTTTTCGGTACACGTGATTCTAATAATCTCAAAGCATGTTCGTACCAATCGACATCGGGTTTTCGTTGTTTTCGATTGATCCATTTAATAACTTCACGCATTGTTAAACCAAGTTTTGGTGCACCTAAAATTGGTTGTTGTTTCTCAATGATCTGTCGATTCAAATTTGTAACCATTGATGCTATTTGTGGTGCGACTTTTTTCAAATCATCATCGAATACTGCCGATGATTTTGATACAGTTGATGTTGATTTTCGTTGAATAATTATAAATTCGAGTTCTTTTTCAGTAAATGAATGAAATTGTATTTCTAAAAATCGTGAACGTAATGTTTTTGGTAATTGTTTTCGTCCGACATAACTCGTGCCATTTTGTGTTGCAAAAAAACGAAATCCATCACGTGCCATTAATGTTTGACCAGTATTTGGTACAGTAAGATATTGTTGACCTTCCAAAATTGGATACAAAACATTCATTACAGCTGGTTCAGCTAAATCAAATTCATCGGCAACAAACCAATCTCCATCAAGCATGGCACGAGATAATGCTCCGTTTAGAAATTCACCAGTTGGCATATATGAACCGAAATAATCTTGTACAGTTGTACCTTTTGTATTATTAACTCGATATAGAATTTTATTATCACATTGTGCCAGATATTCAACTAAACTTGTTTTACCTGTTGCAGCAGGACCTTCATGAAGTACAGGACGTGAACAGATAACAGATGCACATAAACGTTTAGCTGCATCGTAGCGTGTTGGTGTTTTATCAGGATCAATAATATGTTCACGATGTTCTTCACGTACTTTTTCCGGAATTGAAAAATCAAAGAAATTAATAGAACCATGTTTTGCTTCTTTTTCCAAATATGATTTAACAGATGATGTTCGTACTTTTGTTGAATCACTATCAAAAACAAGTTCATAAGCTGAAAGTAAAACAGATGGTAAATCTATTTTCCGTTCTGTTATAACCTTTGAATGTTGTAATTTAAATGCACAATCAATAAATTGAACTAATTGTCTTGATGTTAATTGTTCCGAATGAAGTTTTTCACAAACAGAATTAATAAGTTGTTTTTCGTTTGTTGGAAAATAGGATGTAAACATACTTTTATAAACATCTAATGATGATAAATTTAAACCATGATAATAAATAATTAAAAATCGATTATATAAAGCAGGCGAAAGCTCATGATTTGTTTCGATTGATGCATTTTGTAATCAACCAGTTGGTGGAGACATTGTAGCAATAATACGAAAATTAGGATTAGCTGGTACAGGTTCTGTTTCATTATTTTCTACTTTAACCCACTGAGGTGGTTGTTCAAGAACAGGATTTAAACGTTCAAGAACAGCTGATGATGCCTCAGAAAAGCTTTCAAGAATAAGCCAATGTCCTTTAGTAATCGCTTCGCTTACAGCACCATCATGCCAACGTGGTAATTTTGGATGTGGTACGAGAGAGCCAACAAGAGCTGCTGGTTCGGCTTGTGGTGTTAAATATAAATGTTGACAACGAACATTTGTTAATGTAGCTATTGCTTGAACAAGACGACTTTTACCACATCCTTCTGGACCAACAATCAGAATGGGTTGTGATGGTGATGTTGCTAAAATAAATTGTGCAATACGATTAGCTTCATCATCTAGATAAAATGATGAATGAGCAGATGAAAGTGATGAAGCAGATTTTGAAAGATCTGTTACAGGTTTACTAAATTCTGCAGCAATATATTTAATAATTTCCATTCGTTGTTTTTCATCTCGACATAGATTTATATAAGTTTCAACAATTATTTCAACTAGAGTCAAATTTTGTGAATATCGTCTTTCTATCATTGACCAGAATAATGTATAAGAACAATCATAAATCTGTGTTATTTATTCATTATGAAAATATTTAAAGAAATAATTGTGAATTTTAATCATTTTTGTAATTTCTTGATTATTACTCGGTTTCGAAATATGTGATGGCCAATCGTTAAGAACACGATCAAGAAAAACTATTGACATTTGTAATAATAAACGTTGTTGGGATAGAAATGCAACAGCATTATTATTTGGACGATATTCAATCGATAATTTTGACGAGGGTATTGGACTGAGACGAAAGAGATTTTCGATAATTCTTGCAATTTGACTTTGACTTTGTTCTTCACGAAATCGTAAACCATAAATAGCATATGCTTGTTCAGTAAGAATTTGATTGAATATATTAGGAGCAAGTTTACTAACTGTTTGTGAGCCTTTAATTAACATCTTTTCATAATCACATAAACTTTGACACCAACGAAAAAGTTCACGTATGGTTATTTCAGAATAATTTCTATTTCGTTCTTTGAAATCATTATCTTTAATGATTTCCATGATTTTCAAATGTAAATTTACCATTTGTGTAGTTTGAGTTGCAAAAGGAAATTTTTCATTTTTTAATTTATTTGTAACAATATCGACTAATTCATCATTTTGTGGTCCTTCAACAATAAAAATACTGAAACGATTTAATAGAGCTGTTGATTGTGTATCACGTGCGCCTTTATATTTGCCTGTTGATGGATTTTGTGTTGCAAAAAGACGAAATTCTGAATGTATTTGATAGACACGACAATTTTGTTTTGCTTGATTTTGTTGTTCTTCAACATTATCCTCATCTTCAATATTTGGTATTGTCAATACACCGGATTCCAATGCTTGTTCAATTGCTTGAAGAACGTTTGGTGGTGCTAAATTCATTTCATCTAATAAAAGCCATTGACCATTACGATAAGCTGTTGTAAATGGACCTTCTTCATAATCTAATTCAATTTCTTGTCGTTGATCATTTGCATTTTTGACTGTTTTTAATTTAACTGAACCAAATAAGCCACCAATATCAGTTTTTGACGAAAGATTAAAACGAATTAATGGTTTTTGAAGATCAGCAGCAACATCAAGTATAAGACTACTGTTTCCAACACCGGTTTCACCTTGCAATAATAAATGAATAGGTGTTCGTATACATTCAATAATACGTTGACGATTATTAAGCATAGTTTTTGTTTGTACTAATGACGGTAATTGACGACGATTTGGTATTAAATGACGAAATTCATCTGGACATTTGCTAATTAAATTTTTACTGTATCTAAATTAGTTGTATCAGTTTTTGAACTATCATCAAAATTAGTTAATGATTTCAAATGCTTAGATAATGTTTCAAAATCCGATCGTTTAATCGTACGAAAAGGTATTTGAGATTTCGAACGTTTTTTTTCACGTTCTAAAAGATGTACTGGCGCAATTTGCATTTTTGTAATTGATCGTTGTTGTTCATTAAATAAGTTTAATGTTGTTACAGTTGTCATATTGATATCTTCAGTATTTGAATCTTGTAAACTCTGTAAAAGTTTTGTAAGATCATCTGATTGCATATTTAATGCACGACCAACTAAGCGAGCGATTGATACACGTATACGAGAATTTTTATGTAATAGACATTGAATACAAATAGGTAAAGATTGTTGAATGTATGCTGAAAGAAAAGTAAATGTTGATAACGAAATTAAATTCATTGCATGATCGAATTTTTCATGTAATAATTCAATAAGTTCATAAGTGTACATGCCAATGAGTTTCATTATAGATGATGGTTGTAGATTAAATGATGATTGTTCATCATCATTGGATGAAGTATATTTAAGAATTTCTTCTTCATTTAAATTATCATTTGTTAATAACACCAGTGTCAATAATTGTTTGAACCAATATTTAATTAAAACTTGTTCTTTTGATCGAAGTACAAAATTAAATAATCTTGACAATTGTCTATAATCGACTGGAAGTAATATTGTAGATTGAATAATTCATTGCATATCATCTGTATTAATGATTAATGTTTGCATGTTGATTTGATCAATTAAATAAAGAATAATCGATGTTGCACAAGACAATATACCACGACGAAATGTGAAATTCCAAACAAGTTGTTGGTCATTGTTTTGATTGGGAAATACTAAATGAAGAACGTTAATAATCGGTTGAATTGTTGTTGAAATATTAAATTTTTTCGGCTTTAATTGTCCATCAAATGATTTTTCTAAGAGTAAAAGAAATTCCAAAAGAAGTAGTGGATTTTTGTCTGTATTTGATTTTATCAGTGAAAGTAAAAGATCAAGCTTGAGGCTACTTTCCAGTTATCAAATGCGTATACACGAGAGTCCTTCAATAACTCATGTATATTTTCTCGTACGTGATTGTCTTCAATTTGTTGATCGATAATTTCTAATAGAATTTTAATCCAATCTTTTGTACAATTTTTAATCATAAATTTTAAAATTTGAAATGAATTTTCTATTGTTGGTTGAAATAATCGTTTGAATAATGATGTTTGAATTTGTCGACAAAGTTCGATAAAATTCGGATTCATTTTTATTATTGATGATGAGAGTCGATCAAGATTACAATTCATTAAACTAACAAAGAATTGATACCATACATGACGAGAATCGAGATTTTCATTTCGTAATGCTGAAATTTCGCTTAGATTCATAGCTAATGTCGTCAATAGTGAACATAAATCACCAATTGACCAATTCAATGATGGCTGCAAACATTCATTAAATAAACTTTCCTTAATGGAATGTTTTTCATTATTAATCATAGATTGAAAAAATTTTTCAATAATTGAACATGATAATAACGGTGTAAGGTTTTCATCCGTTGAAATAGGTAATTCCTTGATAAATGTCGTAATAAGTTTTGCTCCTGTCTCTCGTATCTGTTCGTCTTCAGAAGCCCAAAAATAGACAAAAAAATATTTTACATCACTATTTGCTAAATCAAGATTTGATGTTGAATTTTCCAAATGCCTTGTAAATGTTTGATAAATTGTTTGTAATAATAAATTCCAAAGTCCTTTTGCTTCTGTATTATCATCATCTTGTTGTTGAACATATGCATATTGTAATAATTTTGATATTGGTAATAAAAATGATGGCCGTGGATAAATTGTATTAGCTGGATAGATGAATTTTTTACCATCTGTCCATCGAACTCGACATTCACTTTGAATAAATTTAAATTCACCATTGCCTGTATCTGGTAAATAGTCGAATTTATTTAACATTTGATTTTTAATGGATGCTAATTCTGTTTGAGCTTGTGTATTGGTTTCATCTGTTAATCGAACGTCTACTATTCGTTGACGTTGAACTGCAAATGATAGCATCGATGATAAACATTGATCTGCATTCAAAAATGATCGGAGTATAAATTGACAACGAAATAATGAGCATGCTATTAGGCATAAAAGATTACTTTATTGCCTGCTTCTCTGCATTATGAGAAAGACTGACCACACTTAGAGAATATCTAAATCTGAATATTCGACATATAAGATTGTCTGATTGTCTGCTTCTCTGCTATATAGGGAAGACAGACCATACTTACACAATATTCAAAGCCGAATATTCAACATAAATGATTATCTGATTGGTCGAC